TCCTCTTCAAACAGAACCTTTATTAATTTTAATGGTATCCACAATTTTTCTTCACCTGTGGAAACAAGAGCAAAACCCCTTTCCCAATGCAGCACATCTCCTGGCTTCCACTGTGAGGTCAGCACATCCTTGAAATAAATTGGTTGATTTAATTCAGCAGACTTTTCCAATATCCAATGTCTTTCTGTAGTCATTGTCCCCTTCTCATTAGCATTGAGAAAATTCAAGGTTAATAAAGCATTATGTAACCTATTTCTGGGGGTATTTTCCACCCCTTTCTGTTTGTTCAACATATCCTTTATAGTTCGATTTGATCTTTCTATAACTGCTTGGCCTGTAGGATTGTATGGTATACCTGTAACATGCTTAATATTATAATAAACAAAAAATCATTTCATTTTCCTAGAAACATAAGCTGGACCATTATCTGTTTTTATTTGTGCAGGTATACCCATGATGGCCATAACTTCTAATAAATGAGTTATTACTGAATCAGCTTTTTCTGAGCTTAAAGCAGTTGCCCATTGGAAACCTGAACACATGTTAATGGTGTGATGTACATATTTTAATTTTCCAAATTCTGCAAAGTGGAACACATCCATCTGCCAAATTTCATTCCTTTGAGTACCCCTTGGATTAGTCCCTGCAGGCAGTGGTGTTTGGTTATAAAATGAGCAAGTAGGACATTTCTTTACAATCTCCTTAGCTTGTTGCCATGTAATAGAAAACTCTTTCTTCAAGCCTTTGCTATTGACATGATGTTTTTTTATGAAATTTAGATGCCTGCAGCACACCACCAATCAATAATTGATCAATATCTGCATTACCTTGTGCTAGAGTACCTGGCAGACCCGTATGGGATGGGATGTGTGTTATATACATAGGGCAAAGTCTGTTCCTAATCATGTCTTGTACCTGGATAAACAATGATGTCAGTTCTGTATCATCAGGTATAAATTCAGCAGTTTCAATCGACAAAATAACTCTTTCTGCATATTGTGAGTCAGTAATTATATTAAGAGGTTCTTTAAAATCCCTAAGCACCATAAGAATGGCATATAATTCTGCCTTCTGGACAGAATCATAAGAACTTTGTTCCACTTTACTCAATTCTTCTGATTTGTAACCTGCTTTCCCTGATTTATTTGCATCAGTATAAAATGTACAGGCTCCGGTTATTGGAGCATCATGGATGATTCGAGGAAGAATCCAAGAAGTTCTCTTTATAAAGTTAAGTCTCTTGCTTTTTGGGTAATTGTTATTAATTTCTCCCAGAAAATTAGCACAAGCTCTTTGCCATGGTTCATTGTCTTCCCATAACTTTTTTTTAAATCTCATCAGCAGTGAAAGCCACTATAATTTCTGCTGGGTCTATACCTGCTAATTGACAAAGTCTCAATTTTCCTTTTATAATCAATTCAGAGACTTTTTCCACATAAGTTTTTAATTTTTTACTTGGTTTGTGTGGCAAAAAGATCCATTCCAAGATAATAGCATCTCTGCGTCATGAATCCTGTAGGAGAAATTCTGGAATGCAATATGACAAGAATACAACTAAGCTTTGGATTTACCCTGTCCACATGAGCCTCCTGTAATTTTTCTTCAACCCTTGTCAGTTCTTTTTCTGTTTCAGCTGTTAATTCTCTGGGACTGTTTAAGTCTTTATCACCATCCAAGGTCTTGTTTAAATGAATTATTAGATCAGGTGTTATCCCAACAGCCGGTCATAGGCTGGAGATGTCTCCTAATAATCTTTAAAAGTCATTAAGAGTTCGTAACCAGTCTCTCCTGATTTGTGCCTTTTGTGCCTTAATTCTTTGTAAACCTATTTATAACCTAAATAATTAACAAAATCTCCTCTCTGAATTTTTTCAGGAACAATTTGCAATCCCCAATTAGGTAAAACTATTTTTATTTCTTCAAACAGCCTTTCTAAGGTGTCTTTGTTTTGATCAGATATCAAGATATCATCCATGTAGTGGTAAATTATCGACTTGGGAAATTGTTTGCATATAATTTTCAATGGTTGGCTTACAAAATATTGGCACAGGGTGGGAGAGTTTAACATTCCCTGTGGGAGGATAGTCCATTGGTACCTCCTTGTAGGCTGAGAGTTATTATAAGTAGGCACTGTGAAGGCAAACTTTTCTCTATCTTTTTCTTGTAATGGTATAGTGAAGAAACAATCTTTCAGATCAATAACTATAAGAGGCCATCCCTTTGGTAACAGGGAGGGCAGAGGAATTCCAGATTGCAGAGGCCCCATAGATTGAATAACTTTGTTGATAGCTCTAACATCTGTCACCATTTTCCATTTACCAGATTTTTTCTTAACAACAAATACAGGAGAATTCCAAGGGCTGGTAGATTCTTCTATATGTCCAGCATCTAATTGCTCTTGTACCAGTTGTTCTAAAGCATGTAACTTTTCCTCAGCTAAAGGCCACTGTTTAGTCCATATTGGTTTCTCAGTCAACCATTGTAGAGGCATGGCTGTTGGTACCTCTGAAGGGCCATCAATTGTGTTGTGTTCTTGTATAGCTCTAATGGCTGGTTTCTGCCATCTGTAATATCTTGTAATATTGTCCTCAGAAATATAAGCCCTGGAAGCAGCAGGAATGTTAATTTGGGTATTCCATTGCTGCAATAGGTCACAGCCCCAAACATTCACTGCAATATTGGCTACATATGGCCTTAGTTTTCCTATTTGTCCTTCTAGTCTTATACATTTAACCCATCTCATGCTTTGTCTTACTTGAGATAGGGTTCCAATTCCCAGGAACTGAATATCAACCACCTGCAAAGGCCAATGCGGATGCCAAGATTCTGGTGTAATGATACTTACATCCGCACCTGTGTCCAGTAAGCCAGTAATAAATTTGCCATTTACACACACTCAGCTTTGGTCTTTGTTCATTTATAGATATCTGCCAGAATATACATTTACTTTGTCCTCTTAGATTTCTTGATTCATTTACCACATTTAACTCATCTTTCAGGCCGTTATTGCTTTTAACAGCAGGCATGGGGCATTCTAATTTCCCTGAAGAGGCACGTTCTCTGCAGTGACTGGAAATGACTGGACCACATTCGCCATGGGGGCCTGCAAGAGGCCCCTCATTGCATTTCCCGATGGCAACGGGTTGCCCTGTTTATCTCTTGTAGACCTACACTCATTCGTCCAATGCCTTCCCTTTCCACATCTCCTACATAAACCTGAAGGCTGATTCCTCCTATTCCTGTTATTCCTAGAAGAGGCATTATTCCTGGAATTCCATTGTCTGCAGTCCCTTTTCATGTGTCCCATTTTGTCACAATGAAAGCATTTTGTAATCTGATGTCTCCTTTTATCTTTGGAAATTGCTTCTTGTATCCATGTTTCATTGCCATAGTCAAATGTATCAATGTTCATTGTATGCAGGACCCATTCGTTCAAGGGTGCTGATCTGATCTTTAAAGGCCCCAGGATCCTTTTGCATGCTATGTTGGCATTCTCATAAGCCAAAGACTCAATTACTATATTTCTTGCTTCTGGATCAGGTATCCCTATTTGTACAGCCTTAGTTAGTCTTTGTAAGAAGTCACTAAAGGGTTCTCTCTGACCCTGTTTTACCCTGATATATGATTCTACTCTCTGACCTGAGTCTTGAACCCTGTCCCAGGCCCTTAGAGCTGCTGTGGCACATATGGATAAAATGTTTTAATCATAAAGAGCTTGTTCCTGAGGATCAGAGTAAAGTCCTTCACCTAGAATTTGATCTAGAGAAACCTCAATTCCTTTCGCTGATTCTTGTTGTTGTAAAAGTCTGGCCTCTTGTATGAATAGGCATTTGAAATGACATAAAGGTAAGCTCTCAAGGACAGCTGACGTCAGCTAATTCCAATCTTGAGGGATTGCCCTGTTGCTGAGAGCCCAGGATTTTTAACATCTCTCTAACAAAGGATGAATGTAGTACACAATTCACAATTGCTTGTTTAAATTCTTTCAGATCATTCATACATATAGGCTCCCATGTATGTTCTTTAATGACCTTAGGGTTTTTGGAGCTGGTTATCTTTTCTGATGTTATTACTGGAAAGGCAGGTATAACTCTGTGTAGACTGACAGTTTTTGGAGTTAAATGTTGCCTTTCTACCTTTTGCTCCTGTTCATCAGAGTCTATGATTTCTTCAATCTTATTAAATCTGCTCACCATTGCCTTCTGTAAGTCCTGAATCTCCTGTCCAGTATTATACTCCAAAGCCTTCATTAAGGATTCTAAGGCATGGAGCTTTTCCATTAGAGATACCATCTTCTCCTTGGACATAATACTCATGGCATATACTGTGTCTTCTTGTATGGAAATCCTGTCAATTAATCTATCATACCCTTTTGATAAAGTCTGATTTTCACATTCAATAGTTTTAATCCTCTCAGCTAATGTTTCAGCACTTACAGTCATGGACCGGAGGTTACGAGTTATTTTAGTTGTTCCCTCCTCCAGAGCAGTGAAGCTCCCTTTTAAAGACGTAATATTAGACTGTACCTTCTGGATATTTTGGTCAGTTGACCGAGTCATATCAGACAAAGATCTAGTCTCCTCCTTGAAAACTCCAAACTCTTTTTTGAGGAGGTTGGTGTCAGTCTGAATTGTCCTTAAGGTTTGAATCTCTACCCTCAGCATTTTGCAGTCAGTCTGTAAGAACTGCATCCTTCTTAAAAGATAGCCAAACACCAGAAAAACGATAAGCCCCAGAAATAACCAAGTAGGAGGAATATCAAAACATCTTGCAGGATATCCTCCATGGTGCAATTAAAAAGGCTATTGAACCCTTGGATAGTAGTGTTTTCTGACATTGTCAATCAAAAGAAATCTTACTTGTATGTATGTATGTATGTATGTATTATGTATGTATGTATGTATTTTCAACCAAAAAAAAAAATCTTACCTGTAATGACCGCTGCCTGCCAGTAGGTGGTGGGCTGCGCCTGAATCCACGTGGCAAGGGAGTCAAACCAGAAGGATTCTAAAATAAATATACTCAAATTCAGAGGTTAAATTCACAGATCGTGTGCTGTGTGGATTACTTTCAGGTGAGCAGCGCAGGCCAGACTCAGCTGGGCGTCAGGGAAGACACTGCCCGAGGGGGGTAGAGCTGCTGCGGGGGCACGCTTCCTGAGTTCTGTGCCCGGGAAGTCCCTTCCGAGGTTGGGGGGCTGGTCGGGGCCAGTCGGGAGCCAGCAGTGGTGTGCGGCTCTGGTAGGAATTTCCCTGTCCCGATTCTATTGAACGGATCTGGGATCTAGTACACAGGCTTTAGGGCAGCAAAGGGACGCTGTAGTTAGCTGCCTGCTGTTTCACTGCGGTAGCTGCACAAATGCAGTTCGCACTTAAGCTAGGAAGTCTGGAGCTAGCTAGTCAGGGTAAAGGCTGTGGGGCTGCAGATAGACTACAGGTGTGGTACGGACTCCAGCGGCTAGTTTGTGGTCCCGCGCTGACCGGGGACAGGGACGACCCATACGTTTGGGCACCAGATGTTAACGCAGTGCGATCGGTAATTAAAAGTCCGCCAGGCTAGCTTACAAGAGATACAACTTTAATAAAACAGAAGGAAAATCCCAACCATCCGGAACACTGGGTCCAGGCGGGGGGTGGCGCGCCGGGGGTGGGGGGGGGGGGATGTGTGTGTGTGTGTGTGTGCACCAACCAGGTTTATAGGTAAACTTTTGCCTTAGGGCAACATGCCCCACAGACAGAATGTGATTGGCTGAACTCCCAGTGGAATTGCTAGGTCCTGAGGTAGGTTGACTCCCAGTTTCCTGAGAAACCACCACACTGATTTCCAAAGAGGCTGCATAAGTTTGCATTCCCACCAACAATGGATGAGTGTTCCCTTTACTCCACATCCTCTCCAGCATAGACTATCATTGGTGTTTTTGATTTTAGTTATTCTGACAGGTGTAAGATGGTATCTCAAAATTGTTTTGATTTGCATTTCCCTGATCACTAAGGAGGTTGAGCATGACCTTAAGTGTCTTTTGGCCATTTGAACTTCTTCTGTTGAGAATTCTCTGTTCAGTTCAGTATCTCATTTTTTAATTGGGTTAATTAGAGTTTTAGTGTCTAGTTTCTTGAGTTCTTTGTATATTTTGGAGATCAGACCTTTGTCTGATGAGGGGTTGGTGAAGATCTCCCAATCAGTAGGTTGCCTTTTTGTCTTAATGACAGTGTCTTTTGCCTTACAGAAGCTTCTCAGTTTCAGGAGGTCCCATTTATTCATTGTTGCTCTTATTGTCTGTGCTACTGGGGTTCTACCTAGGAAGTGGTCTTTTGTGCCCATGTCTTGTAGGCTACTTCCCACTTTCTCTCCTATAAGGTTCAACGTGGTCAGATTAATACTGAGGACTTTAATCCATTTGGACTTGAGTTTTGTACATGGTGATAGATATGGATCTATTTTCATTCTTCTACAGGTTGACATCCAGTTATGCCAGCACCATTTGTTAAAGATGCTTTCTTTCTTCCATTGTATAATTTTAGCTCCTTGTCAAAAATCAGGTGTTCATAGGTTTGTGGATTAATATCTGGGTTTTCAATTTGATTCCATTGGTCAACATCTGTTTTTGTGTCAATACCAAGTTGTTTACATTACTGTAGCTCTGTAATAGACTTTGAAGTCAGGGATGGTAATGCCTCCAGAAGTACTTTTATTGTATAGAATTGTTTTGGCTATCCTGGGGTTTTTTTTTTGTTTTGCCATATAAACTTGATTATTGTTCTTTCAAGGTCTGTGAAGAATTTTGTTGGGATTTTGATGGTGATTGCATTGAATCTATAGATTGCTTTTGGTAGAATTGCCATTTTTACTATGTTGATCCTCTCAATCCAAGAGCATGGAAGATTCTTCCATTTTCTGGTATCCTCTTCAATTTCTTTCTTCAAAACCTTAAAGTTCTTGCCAAATAGATCTTTCACGTCCTTGGTTAGAGTTACCCCAAGATACTTTATGCGATTTATGACTATTGTGAAAGGTGATGTTTCTCTGATTTCCCTCTCTGTATCTTTGTTCTTTGTGTATAGGAGGGCAACTGATTTTTTGGAGTTGATCTTGTATCCTGCAACAGTACTAAAGGTGTTGATCAGCTGTAGGAATTCTCTGGTAGAGTTTTTGGGGTCGCTTATGTACCCTATCATATCATCTGCAATAATGAAAATTTGGCTTCTTCCTTTCCAATTAGAATCCCCTTGATCTCTTTATGCTGTCTTATTGCTTTTGCTAGAACTTCAAGCACTATTTTGAAGGGGTATGGAGAGAGTGGATAGCCTTGTCTTGTTCCTAATTTTAGTGGGATGTCTTTGAGTTTCTCTCCATTTAATTTAATGTTAGCTGTCAGCTTGCTGTATATTGCTTTTATTATATTTAGGAATGAACCTTGTATCCCTAATCTCTCCAAGACCTTTATCATAAAGGGAGGTTGAATTTAGTCAAATGCTTTTTCAGCATCTAATAAAATGATTATATGGGTTTTTTTTCAGTTTATTTATGTGATGGATTATGTTGATAGATTTTTATATGTTGAACCAGCCCTGCATCACTGGGATGAAGCCTACTTGATCATAATGTATAATTTTTTGGATGTGTTCTTGAATTCTGTTTGCCAGTATTTTATTGAGAAATTTTGCATCGATATTCATGAGTGAGATTGGTCTTTAATTCTTGTTTTTCTTGGGTATCTTTCCATTTCATCTACTTTTTTGTTTGCTATCTCCATGTCTTTACAGAAGTTTTTCACCTCCTGTTTAAGTTCCTCTATTATTTTCATATAGTTCCGTTTAAAGTCTATTTCTTCTGGAGTAGGGTGTTCAATTCTTCTTGTTTCGTGATTCCTGGTTTCTGGTGATGTCATGTTGCCTTTCAGGTTGTTGGAGGAATTCTTGCATTGGCGCCTGCCCATCTTTTCTTTCAAATGTAGCCAAGAGAGTCTTGGTGTCTTGGTCCAACCTTTGCTGTGACTACTCCCTAGGTGGATCTCCTCAGTGCAGGCGCAGGAACTGTTCCCCGGTTGGCCGGTCTGAAAGGTTGTCCTCAGCACAGGAGCAGGACTCTTGGAGGTCAAAGGACCCCGCAGGCAAAAGGGCAAACTGGGGGGGGGGGGGAGTTGTGCGGAGCCAAGAAGCCCCTGCAGCAGGAGCTGGAGGTGCCTTGCACTCCCCTCTGGCCCAGTAGGTGCGCACTCACCCCTCTGGGTGGGTAGCCTCAGTGAAGGAGCAGGACCTGTTTCTGGGCCAACGACCTCACAGACAATAGGGCAGGCTTGGGGGTGGGGGTGGGGGTAGGGGGTGGGCAGGGAAGTGTGGAGCAGAGAAGTTCCTGCAGCAGGAGCTAAAGGGGCCCAGTGCTCTTTTCCCGGATGTTCTGCCCTGTCCCCGGATGGCACCCACTCACCCATCTGAAAGGTTGTCCTCAGGACAAGGACAGGACTCCTGGAGGTCAAAGGACCCTGCAGACAAAAGGGCGAACTCGAGGGGGAGGGGAGAGTTGTGCGGAGCCCAGAAGCCCCTGCAGCAGGAGCTGGAGGGGCCGGTCACTCCCCTCCCCTTTTAGGCTTTTCTAAACATTTCCAAGGCTTTTCCATCCTAATGGTGTAGTCATAATTTTCTAGGAAACCAGTAAATGTTTCTGCTTCTGTGTAACAGGGAATATAGCATTCCTGGAAACAAGAGTGCTTACTATTTTGATTTCCCCATAGAGAGATCAACACTGGCCGGAGGGGGCAGGCTATCGATGACTCTGAGCTGGTTTGCAGTTAGTAAGGAAGCCTTGAAATTCCCAGCTGCATCCACTTTGAGGGTTCACTTGAGAACAGTCAGTCAAGATTGTCCACAGCACCATCTACTTCACATTTAGCCCATTTGCAGAACTGGTTGGAGTTGTCTTGCCAAGGACAGCAAACTTCATGGGGCAATCTGGAAGGGGGGCTGTTTTATGATTTCCTTCTAGAGCAAAATTTCAGAGCAATTCTGAAAACCCCAGCCTCCATGTCCCTCCATCCTGCTCACCCTTAGGTTCTACAGCACTGCATCTGTAGGTGCTGAGGTGTGGCCTTCCCTTCACGCTCATTGTGTCCGGTCCCAGTGCTTATAACTTCACTTTGTACACAAGCAGTCCCCATACACCTTCTGCCTGCCTGGACAGGTGAGATGAAAGAGACAAAAACTTCCCTCCCTCTCTCTCTGTCTCTCTCTCCCTCCCTTCCTCCCTCCTCTCCCCCCATCCCCCCCGTTGTATGTATGTCCCCATTGTGGAGATTGACAGCAGGTATCAGGTACTCTATTTTTGAGGCGGACTGGACTGGTTGTCCAGAGAGTCCTAGGGTCAGTCTCCTCACTCCAGAAATGGATCCCAGGTGAGTGCTGAGTACCCAAACTCGGGTCCTCATGGCTGCTGTGTGCGCTGAGTATCCAAACTCGGGTCCTCATGGCTGCTATGTGCGCTGAGGATCCAAACTCGGGTCCTCATGGCTGCTGTGTGCGCTGAGGATCCAAACTCGGGTCCTCATGGCTGCTGTGTGCGCTGAGTACCCAAACTCGGGTCCTCATGGCTGCT